CAGTTTCCAATTTCAGGCATAAAAACCACACTAGACCCAGCTTAGGTCCTTAGAGTTCCCAACCCCAGTGATATGCTATGGCGAGATCAGCCCTCCCCATGAGCTTTGACTGTAATGTGAGAAAAAACCGAAGGCATTTCAGAACCTGGTCTCTAGAGTTCAAAGAAAGAAAAGTTATTTAAATAATGAGTCTTAATATGAGTATGAATGAAATTCATAGTTTATATTGGCATCACAGGCGCTCTATGTTAATGGACTTCGGTGGCCTCTAAAACAAAAGAATTGAAAATACAGGGAAGATTTAGTCCATCCAATATTCATTAGCTTCTTTAAAGTTACCCCTTCTCTATGCCCAGATCTCTTAAACAACAACATCCTTTATCTCATTCTCTTTGCTGCTTTTGAAGGAAGAATTTCTTTTTTGGCCGAGGCTAAGACTTTCATCTTAAGTAACATTTTTGTAAAGTAGGGAAAAATAACCCAACAGAACCTAGGAAACAGCAGCGTTATGACACAAGGCAATGCATGTAAAGCGCTTAGCTCCGTGCAGACACATATGTTTAACAGATATTTATTGAGCACCTACTATGTGCCAGGACTGCTCTAGACACTAGCTACATTGGCAACACAGCAGCAAAAATTTCTGCCTTATATATGGTCCTAGAAATTAAGCACTCAATAGTAAGTACTCAATAAATAATTGTTTCCAATTTTATTTTTATGTTTTGTGTTGTTATATTAATAAAACACAGGATTTTAGATGAAGAGAAACTTCCTTGCTCCTTGAGGACCTTGACATTTACTATGTATTCCATAGCAAAGCACAGGGGAAAATTCACTTAAGTACTTTCTTGGTTCATATACACGATGACAAAGTAAACATTTATTGAATGGACATTTTAAAAAGCCAACATATTGATAACCATTTCCTTAATAGAGAAAATGTCAGTTCAGTTAAAAAGTCATCATGTAAATAAAACAAACAAGTCACCCAAAGGTAGTCGTTTGTTTTTAATCCTATAATAGTGAACGACATTGAAGATAACATGTAAAAACCTATGTATTTGCCTGGTTAGTAGTTCATTTAATATGAGTTTTTAAATATGGCAGAAAATACGCTTTTACACATCAAACACAGAGGAAAATTGTGAATTCTTAAAAATCTTCCAGATTTCAGCTAAAATAGAGTAACAGAGCCTGACAATACCCTCCCATCTGAAACAACAACACCTACAGACAATATGAAACACAGCTTTCAAGACTCAACTTTAAGCAGTGAAGAAAGGTAGTTCCTAAGAGATACAAAGCAAATAAGGTGGGCCTACAATTTCCCCAGCTACAACAGTGTGGAAAAGGGGACCCGCATAGTCCAAGGGACTCCCTGCACTGGGGAGACAGCACTGACAGTCCAGGGACGTAAGAGGGACTAGAATTTGTGGGGCAAAATAGAAGAAGGGTGATCACTGCTCAGAAGGAGAACCCTCGAGATCTACAGAGGATCCACTTGTGCTCTTCAGTTGAGACCTGAGCAGCCTGTGTCTGTAAGGAAACCACTAGGGGGCAGGGAAAGAACCATTTGAAAGGATGGGAGGAAATAGTACCAACCAGGGGCCAGAAATATGTGCCCACACCTACCAGCCAAACTGGGAAACCCCATAGTCCACTGGACATTGAGTACTTACAAAGGATCCACCTGGGTAACGTAGAATAATTAGCCCTGGACTAAATGCTGCTCTGCCTCCCCAAACAAATCTGAAATGCAAGACTCAAGCATATCAAATTGCATCCAAGCAACTGTGCCCCAGAACAGAGCTTAAAATATCTATAGGAATATGAAGATACCCAGAGGACAAATAAGGTAAAATTCAAAATGTTTTATGTTCAACCAAAGATCACCATACATGAGGAGGAGCAGAAACAGGGCCTGTACTGAGGGGAAAAATCAATCAGTTGAAACTGACCCAGATGCTAATAACATTAGCTAATCAGAACATTAAAACAGTTTTTATATGTGTATTCCCCGTGTTCATAAAGTTGGAGACATGGAAGATATAAAAGAGACCCAGGTGAAACTTCTAGAGATGTTTGATTCATCAGTGTCTGAGATAAAAATATACTCAACAGGATTAATTAGGTGAATTAAACATTGCAGAGAAGATTGATTAACTCGACACCAATGGACATTATTCAGAATGAAACACAGAGTGAGAAAAAAAGAACCTTAAAAATGGGAAAAGAATCCATGAACTGTGGGGCTATTCCAAGTGGCCTAATAATATATGTAATTGTAGTCACTGAAGGAGGGGAGTTAGTGGGGAAAGGGGAAACAATTTGAGCAATTAATGACTAACAGCTTTCCAGATTTGTAGGAAACTAAATCCACAGATCCAGGAAACCCAGTGAACCCCAAGCGTAAGAAACATGAGGAAAACTATAGCAAGGAACGTTATAATCAAGTTGTTCAGCACCTTAAATCTTAAAAGGAGGCAGAGAAAAAAAGACACTCTAGAGACAAATACGTGAATACCATAGTTTTTTGTCAGAAACAGTGCAAACGAGAAGACAAAATGTCTTTCAAAAATGAGGGCAAAAGAGTGTTATTAGGCATGTAAAGCTGACAGAATTCATCACCAAAAGAAACATTAGGAAGTCTCTCAGGCAGAAAAATGATGCCAGATGGAAATACAGATCTACACAAAGTGATGAGGAACACTGGAAATTGTGACTCTGTGTTTGGAAGACAGCTTGCATGAGAAAATGTCTCCTGTCACCTCCCTCCATAACTCTGATGTGGAGGAAACACGCAGTGTGGCCACAGCCTTATTTGGGCACCCCCAAGGGCAGTGTCTGTCCCAACAGAAGCTTAAGGTTTGTAAATCATGACCCAGATTGTGCACTGTCTCACCGTATTGGACTACTTAAAACAGGCGCATATATGTGACTAATTAAAATACTTTTAGGTACTACACATAATGAATTTCCATCTACCTATGAGGAATGCTATATGATCTTTAAGTATTATGTTTTTAAGGTGATACCAATCCAAAAGTATAGCTTGGTTTTCTGTTACGACAGATTTGAGATAAAATATATTATAAAGCCTGGAAATGAAAATCTTCTAAAACTTGCATATTTTTTGTGGAAAGGAACTGCCCCCAAAAAAGCAGAACTTGCTGGGAGAAGAAATAGAGGTTAGGTGCACAACGTGCATTCTGGTAGAAGTCTTGGTATTTGTTCCTTACAAATAATCTTTGCTGTCCTTCAGAATATGTAAGAATAAAGATGTGAGCTCCCACAACAACATGCTTCCTTAGTTTTTTTATTTTTATTTTTTTAAAGATTTTATTTATTTGCCAGAGAGAAAGAGAAAGTGCACAAGCAGGGGGAGCGGCAGGCAGAGGGAGAAACAGGCTCCCCGCTGAGCAAGGAGCCCGATGCTGGACTCGATCCTAGGACCTGGGATCATGACCTGAGCCAAAGGCAGACGCTTAACCGACTGAGCCACCCAGGCACCCCTCCTTAGTTTTAGAACTTTACAGGAAAAAGTTGAGCTCTCATTTGTAACATGTTTCTTTTTAAAAATATTTTATTTTGTGAGAGAGAGAGAGTGAGCAAGACAGAGAGAGAGCACAAGTCGGGGGAGGAGCAGAGGGAGAAGGAGAAGCTAACTCCTGGATGAGCAGAGAGCTTGAAGCTGGACTCCATCCTGGGTCTCCAGGATCATGACTTGAGCTAAAGGCAGGTGTTTAACTGACTGATCCACCCTGGCTCCCCTTGTAAAGTGTTTCTTACTTAGTTCCTCAAAATAATGTGAACAGAAAAGAAGTCTGCTCTTGTGGAAGAGAACAAGGGAAATTTTAATATATGTGGAGGACACACCAGGTTCTACTTTTGAAAGGTATCACCCAAGAGTGTCCCAGGGTAGCAAATAAACTCATCTTTCCTGAGAAGACAAATCTCTGCAATGTTGGGAGTTTTCATTCACCCACACTGACCTGTACTTTCAGTATTTTCCAGCATTTTTGTTTTCCCATACCCCAAACATAACTGTACAGATCATTTGTTTTTTTAAAGAAATCAAATGTAATTTGATTACATTGTAAAAACTTCTTCTGACATTTTTAGTTAAAATACAGGCTTTGCTATAATTACGTTTATTAAAAAACTTAAGTGCATGGGAAAATAGAAAGATTAAAATGTGGTACACAAGTCCTATAATTGGAACAGCTAAGATACTTGACATACTGATTGAATTATTTTTCATTAAAGTTGATTCTTTAACAGTGGATTTCAGGCAGATTTGTAGAAGCATTCTTCATTGGTTTAATTGGTTTGGTTTTTTTTTTAAGGCGATACAGCAGATATCTCAAAGGATATTCACTTAGTAATTAGGCTATAAAGGATCAGTATCATTCCCGTTCTGCTGGAATTTAAAGCCTACAGAAGTATAAGTTTAAGCGTTATTTCTTGTCAGTCTACAATATGTAATAAGTAATGTTAGGCTCGAATTAGTAGAGAGAGGCAGCTAGAAGGCCGATAGGGAATAAACACAGTACTCCACATGATAAAAAAACTGTTTCTTATAACGTTTTACTGAATGGTACAATTTTAATGGCAGGGGAATTTAATATCCGTTGGGTGCTGGCCATCTGCCAAACAATAGCCAAGGCTAATTTTTCATGGTCAGTGTCCCATTGAGTCCTCACCCCGACTTTAGGAAATAAGTATTGTCAACCCATTTTACATATGATGAAGTTGATATTTAGAAAGATTAAATAACTTACACAGGCCCTGCATCCAGCAGGCCCCAGGACTATGGTACATACTCAGGTCTGTCTGAACTGCAAATCCTTCTTTGATTTCACGACATCCCCTGCTTCTCAAATTTGACATCTTGGCACATCACATTTTTTTCCCCTTGACCATTGTGTGTCATTTTGATGTAAATTCCACTTTGCAAATAGATGATAGAATTAATCTTTTTGGTGGCTTTCTTTCAGGAATTACAGTTTGAGAGACTGACCCGAGAGCTGGAGGCAGAACGCCAGATCGTCGCCAGCCAACTGGAGCGATGCAAGCTTGGATCAGAGACGGGCAGCATGAGCAGCATCAGGTACCGGGCACGCTGTCTCCTTACACTTCTGTGCTTGGAGCTGCCAGGGAAAGTAAATCGTGGTGTTTATCTTCTCCTTACAAACCTGGCAGTGCATTTGGAACATTCATTGAGACGTTGGAAGGGAATTGTAACCAATCTGATTTAAGATGTTCAAAAGGTGTCCAAAATGGCCTGGTTTGTACTTGAAACTCTTTTTAACAAAATTAACACCTGCCCCGAATGCAAATTGTGCATAATTTTACACAAAGGAAGGCTTTGCATTGAGTCAACTCATGGAAATCAGGAGATGCCATATCAAAGCTGCTTCTCTGCTTTGGGTCTTTATTTCTAAATGAGCCAGAGTTGCAGGTTCCTGAAATGAAAGAGAGAACATTTAGATGTCACCTGTCTTGTTTGCTAACATACGATGCTGAGTTACAAAATGGCACCGCAGATACCCACCACGCATGCAATCCTCCTGTGTAAAAATATTTCGAATTCAGAGATAGAATAATTATTCAATTAGGGGTTGGTTTGAGGTTCTGAAATGTTTAAAAACAAAACATAATCACTTGACCACAAAATAAATTATCGACCCTAGGACCATGTTTTCATGTTTAAAAATGTGTGTGTGTATGTGTGTGTGTGAATATGAGTATGTGATGTGTATGTGTGAAAGAAACAAAGTTACACAAGACAACTTCCATTTCTCAGTAATGCATTGTATCTTCCTGTTATCTTGTTCTACAGTGTGTTTCTGAGATTCTACTTCTTTAGAGAGGTGTCTTAGTTAAAGAAACAGTTGCTGTGTCAAGTCAACTCCAGCATTACAGTGACTTAATACAATAGCTGTTTGTGTCTCATTCATTCAACAGATAGAGGCAGTGGATGGTCGTCAGGGGGCGGCTTCTCTGCTTTCCCTCCTACGGTTATTAAGGACCCAGCTTCTCTCTTAAGAGCTGTGCCATCCCTGATGACCTCATTGTCAATTGCGTTGTCAATTGCACAGTCTGTTGGTGAAAACCAGTCACATGGCCTCTTGTAGATGGAAGTCAGGCGGGGATTCCTCCTCCTGGAGTCTACAGCCACCTGCTGTGACAAAAGAATTAAAACGTCCTTGTACCTATTGCTCTAAAATCCTTTATCATTGTAAGAGTACATCTGTAGTCAGAATGTTTCCTATTCCAGTCACTTGCCATCAGTCTTTTAACATTGTTCTTTTTTTTTTTTTTCTTTAGCAATGGTAAATCTACATGGATATCATTGTACTCTTGTTAGGCTAGCTTACTTGGATGGAATATCACTTTCTATTGCAAAACATTATTTTGGACCTGTGGAAGCATATCCACCTCTGCATCCAAATACCTAGGTTATAAGTAGCTGCAAATAGGTACATTGTGATTCCTCAAACAGACTTGCCAAACACCCAAATTAACCAAAGCAGAAAGGACAAAAAAAAAGTGAATTGTGTTTACATGAAATATTTTTCAGAAGGTTGACTAGTTGAAGATGGTGAGACTAAGAAGATGGTGAGACTGAGGCAAGGAGAAAAATAAGGTTTAGAAATGTGTATTTGATTCAGTACATGTGGGGTACATATTTGAAGAGCTTTTTTTTTTCCTTCTTCACATTTTTATTTAAATTCTAGTCAGTTAGCATACAGTGGAATACTGGTTTCAGGAGTAGAATTTAGTGATTCATCACTTACATATAACACCCAGTGCTCATCACAAGTGCCCTCCTTTATTAAATTTGGCTAATTGAACGTAATTTTTTTTGAAGAAAAAGTATTAAGAATTTATAATAACAAAATTACAACCACATTTTGGAAGAAAAACAATATGCAAATTGGGTCTTGAATTCTTCTGTACTCCAAGGCACAGATTATACATCTTTTTTTTTTTCCCCATCTGATTCTTTTTTTTATTTGAAGAGCTTTTGGTTAAAGGTGGGTTTTTTTCCTACTTCCTGAGAAGCTAAGACTGTCATGTTCCTAGGTCCATACACACCACTGAATTGGACATCTGTTTTGCCTTGAAAACCCACTGATTCACTGTTTATCAGATTACCTTTTCAATTCATATTTCTACTTTGCTGTGTGATATTTTTGCGTACTATACATCTTTTATTTCATTTCATCCCCTCCCCAGCCCCTGGTAGGCACAGGTCTAGGGGACCATGTTGTATCCTGTGCCTCAATTCCCAACTTCTGAGTGGATCAGAAACAGATAATCTGATTCACCCAGTGACCAACCTGTAAGAAACTGGTCTTACTCTTGAGAACGTGAAGAAAGTGTCCTAAAATCGGTGACATCTGATGGTAGGCGGTAGGGTATGGTGGCTGTGTGGGTTATGTGCCAGCGGAGGGATCTGTGGTGACAGAAAGTAGTCCGACAGAGAGACCATATTGTTCCTGAAGGGCAAACAAGCCTGCTCACTTACCATTAGGCCTGGCTGCATTTCAGAGGTTATCTATGAGACTACCTTTTCAATTCTTAAAAACTTTCCTCCTCCCTCATTTGATTTGATTGAATTGATTTCTTTTCTTACGTCCGAAGTATCTTGAATGGAACACGTGTTGAACTACTGAAGTAGACAGAAAAATTATCCCCTGACAACTTTTGATTCTTTATACTATATCCTGTATCCCTGGCTCTCAGCCCGTGATACACAATCAATAATCCTGTGTAAAAAAAATGTACTAAATGATAGTGTTAAGTGCAGATGATACTACCTAATTATTTCTCTTTGCTATATAGCTATATAATGTCAGTTTTCATTAAGCCTGATTATTTTGTATATTGGAAATCTCTAATGTATGAATCTGCACTTGAATAATACGAGCAATTTACTGATAATTCACTGGAGGAAAGTCTAATACATAGCTTCCACTGTTCCTTTTTTTATCATAACCTAGTTGTTTTCTCGGGTTCAGAAATGCTCCTTTGGAAATTCAAGTCTTTATTAAGCATGATAGACTAACCTAGTTAGCACATCAAAAAGAATATTTTTAAAAATTTTAAAAATAGAATATAAACAATTTTTTGAAAAAGGAGAACAGGTAAAGAAGTCTTTGATAATGTAGATGTTGTTTCCTACTTAGGGATACTAGGGAGGGGTAAGAGAGCTTCTTAGAGGAAATAAAACAAAATCAAGTATCTTTCAGACTTTTTATGTAAGTGGTAAAAATGACTAGTAAATAGAGTTTGGTGTTTCCCTGCCTTTTATTGATGATAGGAAATTCTCCATCTGATTCCTAAGACCTTCTTCCTGGTTGTCACATTGACAGTTGAAACTCTTTGAAAAACTATTAGTATGCATTTGTAATAGTCAACATTATAATAGTCAATCAAAGGACACACGTGAGGACACTGAGAAGTTGGAGAAGGGGATGCTGGAGCTGTCTGTCGTTGTATCTCGTCAGCTCCTGCATCCTTTCAGCCATGGCATAAGTAGCTGCAAATAGGAACATGGTGATCTCTCCAACTCTTCACAGACTTTGCTAAACATCCACATGGGTACTGAAGCTTCCAGAATTCAGATCAATGAGCTGTTAAGTGTTACTATTCTTCTACAGAGGAATTATTGGTGCTTTTTACTGCAACTCTAGATCCACCATGTACCTTATATCCTTCCTATCTTGGTTTTCCTCACTGTTTCCAGCCCAGTCCTTTCCAAGCTGTTGGAACCTGCTCCCTTCCCACTAGAAAGTTTGGTTCCATCCTTTCTCCCTGATTCCTCAGACCAGCCAGACCTGAGTCAGGTACATTACTTATACAGATGACCTTTATTTAGGGTCATGATCAGATTCCCCTTGCTAGTAGCTCACTCTCACCCCCCTGGCCAGCTGTGATTACTTGGCTCATGCCCGTCCCTCAGTTCTCGGCCCGTCCATGAACTTGGTCTGGCAGCCCTATGAGCCATCCATTCCCTATGAGGCTGGGGGCCATGCATTGCTCTTCTCAGTCCCATGGTCTGAGGACTTGCATATGCCTATGCCCTTGCCATATTCTCCACAGACTCTAGTAACAACATTCTAGCTCATCCTTCTGCCTGCATTCTGCCCAAATCTGTTCCCCATGTGGTGTGTGATTGAGCTGTGTAATACATAGACCAGAACCATGTCCTTGAAGGACTCTTTCCCACTTCCATAAACACACCACTGTTTCCCATCTCAGGGCTCTGACCATGTGATCCCTTCTATCTAGAATGTCTGCCTTCTTTCACTTGGTCACCTCCTCCTATGGATGCAGTTACTCGGCCAGGGCTCCCATCCTTCTGAATGTCTTCTTGATCAGTCCAAATTGGACCAGGTGTCCCCTGCTTGGGGGTCATTAGAACTTAAAAAAGCATTGGGAATGAGACTCTATTGACACTTCTAGGAGTTTCCCTGACACGGAATGTTTAACCTTCACTCAAAGAATGTGTGGGGATTTTCTTGAGTGTTACTGAAAATTTAAGGACATCAAAATAGATGACTAATCATATTCCTGATTCCAATGGGGAGCAGGGACCCAATGGGAGAGATCTTGAGCTCAAATCACAATTGGACCTATCTTACAGATTCTTCTTAAAAGAAACCTGACTCTTGGAAACCATGATGATGATGATAATGATGATGATGATGATGATTTATAACAATGGTCTAGAGCTCAGAAATAAAGGAAGTCAAAAATCCATAGCTAGAGAGATTTGACATGTAAGAAATTCTCCATTACTGGTTTTAAAGATGGAGGAGCTATGTGACTAGCAATGCACATGGCTTCTAGCTGCTAAGAATGATCCCAGCAAGAAGAAGAGGATCTCAGTGCTATCACCAAAAGGAGTCGAATTCAGCTCATAGCCTGAATGAACTTGAAGCAGATTATTCCCTAGAACCTCAACAAAGGAAACTAACCAACAGAAACTCAGATGATAACCTTATATGACCCTGAACAGAGAACCCAACCATGCCACACACCTGAATTTTACAAAACTTACAAAACTGTTAGTTAAAAAAAAGGACATTGTTTTAAACT